CGTGGGGCTCTTGTGAGAGCACGTGCTATCCCACCAGGTGCTCTGTAAACAGCTCTCACGGGTAGTGTCTTAGCGGCCCCATGCCGCGGTGTGACCTCAGACGGAACCTCATGTCCCCAACTGTGAAGTGATCGACTTGGGGTGCAGGACATGGATAATACTGGGGCTCCAACCACCTGCAACCCAGGGGTTTCGCTCGCAGCCTTGGGCTGCTGCCCAGCCAAAGGTTCATGAGCCCGTGACCGGAGCCTCGGTCACAGCGGAAACCCCCGGGAGGGAATGTGGGAGACGCTGGGACATCCTCATTAGACCCCATCTATTCGTGCATCTGTTCATCCGTCCTCCTGCCTGCCCACCGAGCCAGGGACAAAGCATTCTTGTGGGGTCATGTGCTGGCTTTTCTTTCGTCGGGCGGATTAAAAGCCCAAGCAGGTCGCTTTCCTTTCATGTACAAAGGGCCACTCATTCCAGGTGATGAGAGAAGGGCAACACTGGAAAGAGGAGGTGACACTGGCCTTGGCACCCTCCTCAGGACGGGGTGAGAGGCCACAGGGCATCCTTCCTGCAGGTGGGCCTCCCAAGCAGGGCTGAGGACCACACCCTGGGCACAGGCTCCGCTCACCTCCCTGACTCCAAAGGCCTTCAACTGTCGCTGTAGGGGATGTGGGGGACCACCACCTGGGACCTCTCCAACAGCCCCATCTGGAATCACTCCTCTTGTCCCAAGAATGGTTCCACTGCAGGACTCACCAGTACCTCCAGCCCAGGGGTTGGACATTCTGGGCTCAGCCCTAACTGTCCAGTGCTTAACAGTGACTTGGGGCTCTGTTTTGTCGGGGAGCTCAGTCCAGGGTCATCTGAGCATGAGCATGGGCTGGGAGCATCTCTTCCTCTTCTGTCAGCTGTCCTCTTCTCCCAGGGCTCCTCCCATCCCAGTTGTCACTGTGTACAGTGAAATGATGGGGGAAAATGGGGTCGCTGCCTATAGCCAGGAGCGATCCCTTGGCCTGGGGCATATGGTCCATAGGCTAAGCGTCTGCCCTGCCCTTTTCTGTCCCTGCTCACTATCAGCATGTGGCTCTAGCCGTGCTTCCTAGTCCTTTGTCACAGATAGAAAATCACATTTGTGCATCACACAGGGTTCGGAACGACTGGCCTGGCGGTTCTGTGGGCCCAGACTCCACCTAGCCCCTGATAGATGTGGGGATCAGTACTCTGATACACTTGTCTCCATCTGTGGTTCAGCCATTGGGAAGAGTGTGATCCTCAGGCTTCAGCAGGCATCCCTGAAGGATATGGTAGAGCACACATCGGGGGGTCCTGCCCCCACGGGTTCTGGTTCAGTAGCTAGGTGGGGCCTGGGAATTGGCATATCTGGGGAGTTCCTGGGAATTGCTGGTGCTGCTGTCCCAGGACCACACTCAGAACTTCTGGTGCCAGGTGAGGGCAGCATCTACCCCTCTGTGGCCCTTTCTGGCTGTCTTGTGAGTTAGATGTCAGGTGAAGTGCTGAGCCTCAAGCATCTGGCCTGTTGTAATACTCCGGGCCAGGGGTCCTGCCTTGCTGGCCCTGGGGGCAGCCCCACCCCATCCCCCACCTTCCCCCAGGTAGGAGTATCCATCCTCTGCCAGGACTTTCCTAAAACCAGCTGTCTGCCTCTCTTATGACCTCTACGACCTGCCCCACCATGGTGGGTCCACCTGGGATGTTAATGCGGTGAGATTTTTCCCAGCATCATTCTCAGAAAAGCTAAGTGGGTGAGTGAATAGTGGGAATGCTGGTCCCCCCCCCCCCGCCGGTACCCATCAGATAACATACCACTGTAATGGGAAACAGCAGGCCCAGCCTCCTGGAATCCTGTTCCAAGGGGTTGGATTACAAAGGCTTTGCGTTTTGTTTTCATCCCAGATTCTCGAACAGCTCAAAGGGAGAAACTTGGGAAAGTGGCCTTCAAGGTCAGTGAAAACCCTGGGGAGAAAGGGCCCTGCCTCTGGGGGGGATGAGCCCTGCTGCCCATAGGAGGTCCGCACCCTGACAGGAAGGGGGTACCTGTGGCGTCATGGCCTGAACTCGGGCCACATCTCAGGTCATTACCGCAAGATGACCAGACCCCTGGGCCCATCACTTCAACCTCATGGAATCCCTGGGCTGGACTCCGTGGAAGAAACGGCCAGATGAGACTCTAGGTTCTTGTTCTGGGAGAGTTCACAATTGAATAGAAGTCAAGTTCATGATCCCCTCTCTCCTAATCCAGGCAGAAATGTGCTGCCTACCCTTAAACCTAGCTCTCTTGCCTGCTAAGGACATCTGATGCTCACCCTGACCCAGCACGGAGCACACCACACCCCTGGCCATCTGGAAGCTTGCTGAGGTCCACAGGAAGGCCCTTAGACGATACCTGAGATGGCCCTTCCTTTCACATGTCAGGGTATGCGAAGCAGAGCTCTGTGCCCCAGGCCATACCTTGAGTCACAAACAGCGCAGGTCCTGAAGCTTAGGGTTGCGCTGTCCCAGCCCAGGGGAAGGTCACTGAGCGGTCAGTATGATTTCCCGCCACCTGGCTTTGTTACCACAGTGACATTACACAAGACCGGACTGTTGGTTTTGCTTCTGGGGAAGAGCACCCTAAGTCGAATGATCCCAGGTCCCATGCCATCTCTGCTCTCAAATGTGACCCGCGTCTGGACCTCAGGGAGTCTCCCATTACCTACCCTCATGTCAGGAATGTGGGGTCTGTCTGCCCCCCCTCCCCGCAATTCCCGCTGCTCTCTGACCATCTCAGCAAAAACAGACTCATTTATGGTCATTTCCAAACAAGACACACACAGTGACCTCTTGAGCTTCCAGCCTAGCCAGAGTGGGAGAGAATGAAACAGTTGTCAGTAGTCCAGAGGAAAGAGGAAAGAACACATAACCAGGGCCTGGGGCTGGGCCACAGATGTTTCTGTTTGGAGGCTCAGACAAGAAATTGAAAATATAATTTCAGCTGGGAACAGTGCCTTCCAGGGGCTGGAGCCGAGTGCCCAGGTCCGTCAGCTGTACCCCCACCCACTAGGGGAGGGGGCTGCTGTGCCAGTCTTCATGCCTCAGCTGACATACTTCTTGCCCGGGTACCCTGTCCACAGTGTCTCTCACCCACCAAAAGAGGGTTTCCTGGGTGCTCCTGTGGCCCCAGCTGATCTCTTCTGATTCCCTGCCCCACAACCTGCACACACACTTGCCCGTTGTGTTCCTTGTCCTGGTTGGGTTCACAGAACACTCAACACCATGATGCAACATCTCACTCCTGGCTCTGCTATTGTCACGTTGTATGACCTCCAGAAGGCTTGGTTCTATTCCACACCTCAGTTTCCTCATCTGTTGATGAGGTAGAAGGATCCCTTCCCCAAGCTGTTGTGAGGTTGAAAAAAGAGAGGCAGAAGCATTCCCTTTCCTTTGGAGACCACGGGGGTGCACGTGCGTGTGTGGGGAGAAGGGATAATCAGGAGGAGGCATAGGGGAAGGGACAAGAGAGGACAAGGGCCATGGGCTGGGCTCTGTGACTGCCTGGGTCAAAGGCAAGAGAGACCGCAGTGTGAATGAAGACGCATCCACACTGGGCCCCTGGGGCCCCAGAAGGAATAGCTGCTGGGGAGGGCTGTGTTCATTTAGTGGCACTTGGCCCTGAGATGTCTTGGAGGGGACAGAGGCCAGTGATACCAGCTCTGTCCTTGAGGGGCTCACAGTCTCATGGGGGAGGGAGACCCCATGACAATATGGTGCTGAGAGAGGACCCCCAGGTTGCTTGGGGGTCAGAACACACTTCTAGAAGGAGGAATCTCGGATCTGATCCTGAAGAATGGTGGGTGGGATGAGGGATGGTTGTTCCGGGTGGAGGGCACAGCACAGGCCAAGGCCCGCAAGGGAGGGATAGCCTATGGAGTTCATTCCAGAATTTTCTGCTTCCTGTGGCTAGAGTACAGGAAGTGGAACTTGCACAACAGGATACTTGCCTGGAAACCCACAGTGAGCAAGAGTTCTGGGGTGTATTTCTACTGGTCAGCTCTGGTGAGACCTTTAAAACCTGGCCTGTGCCCTTCTCTTTGCTGATACCAGTTCTACTAGGCATCTGTCCCCAGGATACACTAGTATCATCAATGCTGAAAGTCTGTGGAGCGGGCAACCCCTGCTCAAGGGTGGTTTATGGCCCTGGGGAGGGAAGGGCCTCATTTGTGGCCCTGAGGTGGGCCCTCTTTGTGATGCTGAGCCTCCCTGAGCTCCAGGGACCACAGCATCTTCTTGGAGCTCGATCCCTAAACCAGTGGTCCTCAGCCACTGGGTTATCTTGTGCCCCAGGGATTATTTGGCAATGTTGGGAGACATCTTTTGGGTATCGCAGCTGGGGGGAGGAGGGTGCTAAAAATCCCACAATGCACAAGACAGCCCCAGAATAAAAATTAGCCCACAATGTCAGTGGTCTCAGGTCAAGAAAGCCTGCTGGGAACTCTTACGCTCAGCCTCCTGAACTAACCCTGGGAGAGTGAGCTTTCATTCTGCCCACTGTGCTGTCTGCAGGTCCGTTTCATCCCTGCCCTCCCTCTGCCTGCCCCTAATTGCATACACAGAGCTCTGTTTACTGTCCTTGTAATTGGCCATGGACTTTCCTACCAGGGAACCATTCATCCTCACACAAGCATAGCCCCCCCTGTGTCTCAGCTCTTGCCATTTTAAAAACATCTCTGCTTTGATTTTCTATCAACTGTAAACTACTTTTCTCTGCTGCTTCTAATACTTTCCCCCTCATTGGTACCTGTTAGCTGGGTGGGTTAGTTACCATGGTAAAAAACCTCGAAACTAAGCATTAACTCCCACCACCTAACTGTAAGATCCAGTGACTGTTGGGATGGCATGGATGTCTCTAGTAGTAGAGAGATGTGACTCACCCCTGCACTGAAGCCAAATCCCATGTTGCCAGGATCTGAGCTGTTTGCAAATGGGGAGCTCATAGAAGGAACTTCTCTCTGCCTGTCAGAGTGCGGAGGGTGAAGGCTGGGAGGGATGGGGAGGGATGAGAGAAGGGTTTGGGGACCAGGTTGAAGTTAGACCTTATGGTAACAAGAAATCTGATGTACTTCTGACTCCCGCCCCACACCCCCACCCCTGCCCATTCTTACCACAACTGGGAGAGGAAACCACTCTGGTCTGGGCAATAGTTTTCCCTTTGCAGTCTGGGACCCTGATGCCTTCCTGGAGCTAGGCAATGGGCAAAATGTCGCTCTCATCCATGTCTCCTTTCTGATGCTTTCCCGGGGGTCTGGATTCAGGATATAGCCCTAGTGTGTAAGACTTTGATAAGAAACTTACAGAGGCTGATACTCACCTATAAATCTTAATAGAACAATAAAAGGTTTTAGTGACATGCTTCAAAACTGCAAAGATGAGGAACAGAGAAATAAAATTGGAAATGTCAAGTTGCATGGTAGAGTTGATGAAGCCCCAGGTCACACAGCTGCGTATTGCTGATGCACTATTGACACACTTGGCACAGTAAGTCTGCCTAGTCCCTGGAAACCCGTGGTCAGCACCATGCCTTCCCAGCAGGCCTTACCCCCCAGATCCTGCTCAGCTGTGTGACTGAGAGCTGCATCTGTCTTCCCTACTGGCTGCACCTGTAGGAGCCACCCTGTGACATCATCAGGCCCCAGCACCAAACAGCACAGGCAGTAGCTGCTTGATGACTGAAGCATGGTCTGACTTCCAGCCACGTTGATGATCTCCAGATACAGTCGCATTGCCTCTTCCTCAAGCAGTGACAGACATTTTGATGCCAGTGGAACCCCTCAAAGTGGCCCAGCCCCAGAGCACCTAATAGATCCCTCTAGATCTGCCCCCAGGGCTGACCTGTAGCAGCTCAGGAAATAGTCGAAAGCATGCGGACACCACAGAATCACTTAAGTCCCCCCCACCCCGCCGGGGGAAAAATGGCGCCGACCATTTCCCGTCACGTGACATGACCGACAGTTAAGAGGAGGCAGGATCAGTGGACGAGCACAAGAGGGCTATGTGTCTCATTACAGGTTATGTTTAGAGTGAGTCTTGCTAAGGTCGGTCTTCCAGCACTTAGTCTGGAGAAAACACCGAGGAATGTGTCCAAAATTTTTTGCATATCCAGACCCGCTTCTGAGCATCTGTGACCAGAAGGCTCTCCTGGGTCTGATGGCTCAGGTGTGAAGGGTATCTCCCAGGCTTTTACATAGGAAGGAAAGGGTTGGCTGTCAAAAAGTCCTACCACCCCATTTGGGTGGGCTCTCTCGGTGTCACAGGGCATCATCCATAACACTGAAGAGCACACAGAGGCAGTTTGGAAGGACTAGTTTCCTAAAACAGTGTTAATGGTCTTGGCTTAGCAGGTTTTCCCCTACCACCTACCCGTTTCAGCCTTTTATGCTGAGGATTTTAACGGAAAGATGCAATTCAGCATTAATATACAGACTGGATAAAAATGTCTCACAACGCAGGGCAGGGCTGCATCTTGTGTCTGGACTGTGACAAACACTAAATTCTCACATTCCTTCTATCCTCACAGTGGGTGGGTGGAGGTCGGAGACGAGCGGGACAGTCATTGTTCCAAAACAGACGATAGGCCAAGTATCTCCCACACCAAACCCTTCCATGGGAGCAAGACACACAGAAATACCACCACGATTTTTTGTCTTCAAATGACGAGAAATCTTTTTGCTCCTTTGAAGAGGAAGGGGCTGGTCAGAGGTGTGCAAAAAATTCAACAGAAGAAAATATAGTCTTTACAGATGCCAGGAAGGTGCCTATAATCAAGAGGAAAGTAATTTGGTAAGAGCAGAGTGAGTACGAGTCCCATTGCCTCTGGAAGGCTGTCCCTCTCCATCAAAAAGCCAGAGACATTGGTGCGGCCACTGAAGCAAGGCATGGTCATGAAGAAAGACAAAGAGCAGAAGCCTGAGGAAGGAAGGAAAAAGAAGTTCAGAGGGAGTCTGCATTCTTCATGAAGGTGGAGAAGGTTGGGTTTACAACCAACCACTGCTGAAATGTCGTGGGACTTCTGAGCTATGGGTCAGGAGGTGCACCAGTCTTCCTCTGGGAGACCCTGTTCACTTGCCTGTTGCGGCTCCCACCTCAGGCAGCTGGGACTCTCCAAAGCAGAAGCACAGTTAAAATGAGGAAAGCTTCCTTCCCCCCACCCCCTTCTGTTGGCCATTGACGTGTTGACTTCTGTCAGAAGAAAAACATCAGGTTTTGAAAAAGTGTGCTCCCTCCGCTAGCCTCAACATTGCGAAAAGCGTTTCAGGAGCCTGGGTTCGAACCCTGCACCCTAGCACTGCTGTTGAGGTAGATGCCACATCTGCTTCCAAAGTTCCTGGATCTCAGGACGGATGTGTATCTCTTAGATACCCAGGATCAGGTCTTGCAGGAACATTCCATCTGCTAGAAATGTGATCATCCTGGGCTGCTTTAGAAAACGAGTGTGCCGTATATTCAAGTCATATGCTGGGGCGTGCCTGGATGGCTCTGTCGGTTAAGCATCTGACTCTTAATTTAGGCTCCAGTCATGATTTCGGGGTCATGAGATTCAGCCCTGTGCTGGGCTCCACACTGGACGTGGAGCCTGCTTAGGATTCTCTCTCTCTGTCTCTGCTTACCCTCCCCCCATGCACTCAAAAATACATTAAGTGAATAAAAATTTTAAAAAAATTAAGTGTTGGGTCATTTTGTGGTATCATTCTCCACTAACTTTTATTTTGGAATTGGACTGGTATTAAAATTGTATCTAGCCCATTAAATGATCCTGCTTCTTAAGACTTCATCAAGTAATTAAAAAAAAATGCAAATCTGTGTTTTACTGAGCTGCTTCCAGCCCTTCTCTGGCTTCTCGTGGCTCTCAGAGCAAAGCCCAGAATCCTTCCGAGGCTCCCAGGTCCTGTGTGGTGCCTCCTTGCCTGCTTCCTGCCGTGGGCCACACCTCTCTCCCGCCTTCTCTAGGCTCCGGCACCTGGAACCCTCCAGGATTCTCCCTATCTGGATCTTCTCATGTGCTGTCAAGTCCACCATGAGGCACCCTGGGAGGTGGCTGTGTCTTCGGGCACGTGGACCACGCCCATCAGCTCAGGGCCCTGCAGTGCTAGGCACACAGCAGGCTCTCGATAAACACTTGTGGCAAGAACGAATGAATGTCCTGCCCCTTCTATCTTCTCCTGGGCTCTCTGGGGTCCTAGGTATGTTTGTGTTTCACGGGGGCCTGGTATATAGGTTTGTGTGTGATGTGGAGAGGCGAGGTAGGGAGGTTAGAACCAGAAATCCTCAAAGCCCTTCAGACAGGACCTTCGGGTAAGTGAGGGCAAGAGATGGTTCCCGTGCAGGCCTGGGCAGCTCTGACTCTTTATCTGCTACTCTGCTTGTAGGTGGAAGGGGGCAGCGGTGAACTGGAACGGCTCAGACCCCATCTTGTGACCCTTCCTGTGGGTAAGCCTACGGCTCCACCACTCATCACTGGGGGTGACACCTGAGCCCCAGGCCTCAGGGACAAGTCTCTCAGAAGAGTGTCACCCCACACTGGGCCAGCAGTGCTGCAGAAGCATCCAGAACCTTCCTGCCCCTTCCATGAAGGGCCCCCAGGACTGTGATGAGGGCCCAGAGTGCTACTTACAGCTCCCTCCCAGCTGAGCCACGACTGCCAAGGATTGGACCGCCTGTGTGCTTTTTGTCTGCATCCCTCCCCTGCTCCCCACTGGGCCACCTGTCCCTTCGTCAAGCCTGTGATACAGTCAGCCCGGGCACCCTGAGCTCGTTATTTCTGGTAGTTGGCGTTCTATAAAGCAGGAGTCAAACCCAAGCTGAGGAGGAAAGACTCGTTTGTTCTGTTGTGGCAAAGGAAGCCTGAGGTTTGCATGGTTCATGGCTGGGGTGGGAACAGGGATGGTCGCCCAGGGCCCTAGAGACCTGTGGGCTAAGAGGTCATCTAATGGGGGTCTCTGCAAACAGGCGATGCCTCTGGTCCAGTAGTGTCCCTGCTGGGGCTTCTGGTCTAGCCTGTCTTCTCTGCGTCAGCCCCAGGTCTAAGGCACTAGGCTTTGTAAGCTGTGCTGCCTAGGGCAACACCGGCCCCCTGGGAACCTGTCTCAGGGCAGACCTGGATCCCTATGAGACCCCAGGAGGATGGTCATGTGGACCTGGCCGGGTGGATATGGGGAAGAACCTTCTAGGCAGGGACCTCTTGCCACAGAGGGCAATAAGATGAGAATGAGCCAAGGGACGAGGTATAGTCCCCTGCGCCCCCCCCGCCCATGTGGGTGGGCAGAGCCTGGGAAGGCCCTCATGTTCCAGAGCAAGAGGGGATAGGTATGACTGGGAAAAACAGTCACTCATAAAGGGAAATTTGCATAGTTGCAGCCTCCCTGATTCCATGGGCTTGCATCCTACTGGTTTTCAAAAGGAATGTGATGTTAAGGACTGCTCTGTAATGGCTCCCAACAGGGGTACTGAGTAAGGGCACCCAGAGGCAGAGCACTAGCCTCCAGGAGCCTCTGTCACCAGCCCAGCCACATGAGGAGCCAGGAGCAGCATGAGACCGAGCGCGCAGGAACGCGGTCCATTGCCGGCCCCTGCTCGGGCCGGGCCGGAACTCTGAGCAGGCCCCGCAGAGGCGGGTGTTTGCACGGAAGGACCGGGGAGTGAGCTCCTCCCGTGTCTGCCCTGGCCCAGGGAGAGGCCAGGGAGAGCCCTAGATGCTGAACGGTGGCTGGTCCCCAGGCTCTGTGTCCCATCCCTCCTGTAACCCCCATCCCCCCACCCATCCCCGTGCTCAGGACCAGAGCAGCTCAGGGACTGTCTTACCTCTGCAGCGCTGGCGAAGAGGAGACCCCTTCTCTTTATGTGCCAGGCATTTGGTGGTGACAACGCGAGGGCCTGTTTTGCACTCTCGTAGGCTGGGCACGAGTCGTGGCCGGATTGTTGTATTATCTTATTGTGGGTCTTTGGGGAGAAGCAGGGAGGAGCCGGGAGGGAAGTGAGAGGGCAGGGCGCGCTTTGTCTAAGCTGTGTGGAGGCCCCGCTGGGGTTTGCTGTGTAAACTCCAGTGGCCATTCACAGCAGGCGTCCCGCAGAAATGCTTCCTATATGTCCCCGAAATGTTTATGCATTTGTTTTCCTTGGCCAGAGACAGGCCGCTCCAGCTGAGCCCTGGTGGAGGAAGTCAATTTCCCTGCAGCAGGCTTGTTTATCAGCCTGGGAAGGAAAAGTGTGTCTTTTCCGTGTAACTCACTTAACCTCCTGACCAGGGTCCTGTTGGCAGGGCTGGAGAAATCAAAATATTCCCAGCGTTGCTCGAAAAACCCAGTTCCAACATATTATAGAAGCTTTTTTTTCTAGAAGCCAAGATGCAGGTACATGCACGGTTTGACACCCCGTGCCTGGGGCTTCCTGGGACGCAAGACGAGCAAAGCCGCAGCACCGCCGTCTCCCAGGTCCGGAAGTGAGAGAAGACCCACAGCACGGCCACCATGTTTGCAAGAATGAACCAGAGGCGAGTACCTCCCTGCAGGTGGCTCTTCTCCAACCAAGGCACAGAGTTTTCTAAAGAGACTGCGGGTAGGTAGCAACAGGTCCCGAGCCTCTCTCCCAAATGATATTAAAATCTTTGTGTTCATGTACGTGTGTGTGATTTTCCAGGGAGAGGGTCTATTTGACTTTGGCTAATACCCTCCTGAATTCCCCAGAAAAAGTTAGAGTCCTAGAGTTGAGCGGCTGCTGCAGGCCAACCTGGGCATGGTCACCACACCAGGGCTCGCATGTGGGCCCTGGGCTGGCACGTGGGCCAGGGACCGGGTTAGTGAGCCAGCAGGTGTCAGTGAGGTGCAAATTCTTAGTCTCTAGAGGCAAGAGCAGGTCGATCCCGCTGCCCTTCCGGCAGTAAGAGAGGTCTCAAGGCCACTCGAGCCGACGCTCTCCCCCATTAGTGCAAACTGCCCCTCCTCCTGTGCAGGCCTCCCGTTACTGGGGACCGCCCCCCCAATCGGATGATTCACGCTCTGGTAGCTGCTTATGGTGGCTCCCGGTACCGGCTTCCACCCAGCTTCTGAGGCAGCCTTCTCCTTCCCCATTGAAGAAGACCCGAGGCTTCCTTCTGGAAGGAAGGATCCACAACTAAACCATGCAAAGGCCCCGCACCTCTTTGCCTTCCCGGTTCTGGAGATCACACCCTCCCCCCTCAGCTTGCCTGTCTGCTCAGACCCTGCTGTCAGGAACAGCAGTGTCTCCTGTCCTCAGGTGGGAGTCAGGGAGTGTCCCACACTGCAGGTGCACTTGGCAAACTTTGAAGCAGCTTTCGGGAAGTCTCCCTCACCTGGCTTTAGGAGAGAAGATACAGACCTCTGGGCCCCATGGCTGTGGGAAGGGACCCGAGGACAAAGAATTCCTCAATAGCCACTGGCCTCTTCCAGAGCCAGCCTCGTGCTTTCTTCACCTTCCTCCACGGCCAGGGCACGTGCTGTGCTAATGGTGGCTGAGCCATTTGTACCCCGTTTCTGTAGGTTCTTTGTGGCAGCGGCACAGGTAAGAAGAGCAGCTTCCAGAAGAACCACAAGGATTCCCTGGGGGTCAGAGCTGGGCCAAGGCTTTGCGGGGGTGAGTGTTGGGGGATATCCTCAGGACCCCAACCCAGTTGGGGGTGGAGGCCCAGCCTCCCGGGAGGGCTGGGGCTGGTAAAGGACCCATCTTCAGCTCCCCCAGGCCGTTGACTCTGCTAAGCCCACAATGGCAAGAGGAGAACTCTTCTGCTAGGCTTTTGGCTCTGTGTGTGGGCCTTAGACCAGCAGCATCAGTAACACTTGAGAACTTTCTAGAAATGCCGAATCTCAGGCTCCAACCCACACCCCTGTCCGCCATTCAGCTGCACTTGAAGAAAACAATCAGGTGAATCAGGTTAAAGTTGGAGACAGTTCTGTTCTAGAGCTTCAGACTTTGTGGGGGTGACAGAGGGAGTCCCCGTGAGGAAGTACTAAATGGCTGGGTGGGAGTAGCAGGACCAGAGGACTGAGTCTAGCCTTGCCTCCACGGCCTCCTGCCTGTGTGACCACCAGCACCTGCCCTGAGCTCTCTGGGCCTCCATTTGCTCCTCTGTGAAATGCCCACCTCAAGGGGCTGTATTGAGGCCTGAGGGAGCCAGTGCACAGTGAGGTGTGGAGAGCAGGGCCTGGCACGTCTCAAGGACTTGCTAAGTGTTTGCTCTTAATGTTTCTGGTGGCGGTGGGGGAGGATCCTTGGCAGTGGTAGCATATTACCTTGGCCTTGATGGATGGGCATAGCTTTGCCAAGTGGAGAACTGGACGGAAGATCATTGCAGGTGACATGGTGAGGTGGTGAGAACTGTGAGACCATGAAAGGCCGTGAGGTCTGTGAGTCCCAGAGGGTTAGGGGAAGAGGCACAGAGAGGGAGAAGGCCTTGGATGGTGGGCTCTGTGCTGGGACGTGTTCCCAGGAGACAAGGTCTGCTCAGGGCTCGACTTCAGATCTTTCCCCCTGGCCAGCAGGTGGGTGTGGAGGCAGAGGCAAGGGGCACATTGAGGGGCTGCTGCTCTGATCCCAGGAGAGGCAGGGGGAGGGGGAGGCCAGGAGATGATGGAGGTGACTGATGCTGATGGCCTTTTTGCCTTCCAAGGCCCCGTGGATGATCCTATCTGGCCACGGAGCCCTTTTGGGAGCCTACCCTTGCAGGAGGCTGTCAAACTGCCAAGCCTATTTGCAGGTACTTCTCTCCACCCGCCAGAGTCCTCCCTACTCCCTAATCATGCCCTAATCCTCCTGGGGCTGTGGGAGCTGTAATTACCAGGCAAAAATGTCAGGCATTTGCGATAATAGAGATTGCTTAATGCAGGCAGAGGGGCAGGCTGACAGGTGGGCAGGGGAGGGGGGCAAGCAAGGCTGCCCGTGGGTCAGGGTGGCCCACTGCCAGTGCCTGCACGGTGCTCAGGGATGTCGCTCCGGCAGACTGGCTCTGCCCAAGAGAGGACGCTTGCCCCACGCTGGTCAGGGGCTCAGTGGTCCCAGCAGCCCACCATTGGCCTTTCCCGCTGTCTTGGGATGGGACCAAAGTGCTTTGTGCAAATGCCCTTTTTGCCTTCCCCGGAGATGCCTATCCTATGTCCTGTTCCCTGGGAAATCACTGAAGGCCTTTGCATTATAGTTGGGGAAACCGAGGCCCAGATAGGAATTCTTAGTTAAGACCCCTGCTGGGACATTTCTCATTCAATGAAGGGTCTCTTGGAGACCAGACCACCAGCTGGCCTTTGGGCTGAAGGGAGTACATCTGATGGGGGATCTAAGGGGGTGACCAACTGCCTGTCATTCTGCCTCCCACGTTGCTTCCTCCTCCTCCAGCTCCATACTTCACCCACCCCCGACCGTAGCAGCTTCCCTGAGAACCCCTGCACTGCCTGTAGCCTTTGCTAGTGCTCTTCGCTGCACCTGGGTCCCTGCCGTCTGGCTGACTGTGACCATCTGCCAAATCCAACCAGACCCTCAAAATCTCCAAGGCCCCTCCTCTAGGAAGCCCTCTGGGATTATCTAGCTGAAAGTGCAGGCCCAGTCCTCTGAATGGCCTCAAGCAGCTCCTCTCTCACGGCCCAGATCCCAATTGGTGGTCTGCACCCAGCTACAGGTTTCGCCCATTCCCCCACATTTGTACATGCATGTGCACCCACATGTGTGTGTGTGTGTGTGTGTGTGTATACACCGCCCCTCCCCACCCCAGCCCACAGCACCCTGTTTCCTTGTCCCTGGGCCTGGGGCCCCTTGTCTTCCCTTCCCTCCTTTCCCTCCTGTATCTGTCCCATCCTGGGGGGATGAAGCCCAAAATTCATTCCCCACCTTTGAAGAACCCCTCCCCACCCTGCCTCCAGGCATAAAGCCCCAGTCACTGGGCGCTGGGATGGGAGGCATTGCCCAAGGTCTCTAAACTGTTGATGCCGGGTGTGGTTTTGCGATTAAACCTGGCGCCTTTCCTGTGGCTCTTGATAAGGGCAATTCTGGGTGCTTATCTGGTGTTTTCTGGTTTAAGGCCCCTGGACATCTGTGAGGTTCAGCAAAGTTCCACCTCCCTGTGGAATGGAGCCCATCTCCTTGACAAGCACCCACATCCTTGTGTCCTGTCTGGGTGTCCACTGCGAGTACTCTCAGAGCACTGGAGACACTGGTTTTTGGCACCATCTCTGGGCCCTGCCTCTCCTCCTCACCCCTCCCTTGCTCCGGCACTGGGGCTGAACCTGAGGGGTACTAATAATAACGACGGCAGGACAATTGTATAAACACACTGTGCTATGCGTGGGAACCTTACTCTAAGGAAGGATTGTTCTGTTACTGATTTCCTGCCTCGATGTTCTCCAAAGTCCTGGGCTGAGATCTTCCTTGGATTTCATTCGGGGCATAGGGCTCAGACGAGGGGTACTTGTATGGGCTGGAGCAGTCAAGGGAGCTTCTTAGATGGGAGAGGATTAAAGCTGAACCTTGAAGGAGTGTAGGGGAGGAGGAGAGGCAGAGGTATCCCAGGCCGATGGGCAGGGGCCTACGTGCCAGGGGAAAGGGGCTGGGGCATCTGTATGGTGGGAAGTCAAGGTATAATCAGAGCCGAAGGGCTTGCATGCCAGGCAGAGAGCTCACGCTGCCTCCTGAGCACTGGGTAGCCATGGGAGGTTTCAGAGCAGGGCAGAGAGGGTCCTATGCTGCTTTAGAAGACTGTGCTGCAACAGGGTATAGGGCGGCCCGAAGGGTGATGCTGACCTCTGAGCTCAGGCCCCAGGGAGAAGCAGCAGTGGGAGATTGCTTGCATTTCAGTGATTCAGCTGAGGGAGCAAGGTGGGGGGCCCGTGGGCTTGGAGTCCAGGGCCCTCTCTCCCCTGCTTCCTGGCAGGCAGACCTTGGCCTTGAGCAGCCGGCCCCTGTGTGTGCTCCCTTGTTGGCACCGGTGGCCACCGCTCTCCTGGGAACAGTCTTTGCAAAATATCCCTACCTCCTGATGAAGGCTTCCTCCATCTCCTGTCTTGGCAAACCATGAAGGAGGGGGCCTCAATGTGAGGAAGTACCC